CATGTCCAGGGATGCGAAATGAGAGATGGCCAAAACAAATTATAAATTGGATACCTGAAAGAAGACGTAGAAGAGGTAGCCTGGTTTAACCTGGAAGAAATATATATACGAAGTTATGGAGGAGAAAGGATTGGAAGAGGTCAATGGGAGGACCGAGAATTATGGAAATCGAAAACGACAAACTCTAAGGTAGAAACCGTTCGAAGAAGAAGAAGAAGAAGAAGAAGAAGAAGAAGAAGAAGAAGAAGAAGAAGAAGAAGAAGAAGAACATGAACATCCTAAAGGCTAGAATTTAAAAATTTTGTCTTGCTTTTACCTTGCTGAAGTAATTGGTGAACTTCAACAAATAGTAAATTATTACTCTTATACAAGTTTTCAGAACAATTTTCTTCACTTCACAACAAATCCTCACAAAATTGATTTATTGTAGATTATATAATAGCTAAGTAATAATATTTTGTTAAGCAATCAACTGTCCAAATTCTGTCACTAAAACTGCTCCACACTGACATATATTCATTAAAACTAGCAGAACACACACGTAATTGTTTTGAAGCTAGAACAATGCTTGAACTTTGCAAATTTTGAACCTCGGAGGTTACCTGATCCCATTCAGTCCAATGTTTTCGTCAATCAATTTCCACAAATTTGTAAAACAAAACATTATCTACAATATTATACTCACGTTGCTCTACCACACTACATTACTTCTATATTCGACCATTTCTCACGCTGTTCTGACTTATCATGCTTCTACAAGTTCACAATCTCCTATCGGCTTGTACAGAAATTAATGAATTCAGGCATCGATTCCAGGGTGGTGGCATGGATTAGCGAGTTTCTGCGAGACAGAAAGCAGAAAGTTCGAATTGAGCAAGAGTTATCTTCCGGGGCAAGCGTTACGTCAGCAATACCGCAGGGTAGTGTCATTGGACCTCTTCTATTTCTAGCGTTCGTCAATGATTTGCCAGCGCACCTAATCTCAAATGTTCGGCTATTTGCGTAGTATGAATTCGAAAGAAGATGAAGAAATGCTGCAACGGGATCTTGATGCGTTATATTACTGGGCGGAAAATAATGGAATGTCCATAAATAGATCTAAAAGCAAATCCATCGCATTTGGCAGGGGTCTTAACTGCAGAGAAACAAATTACCATTTAAATAATGACATTATTCCGAGAGTTTCCTCATGCATGTACCTAGGAATCCATGTCGATAGTAAATTAAGCTGGAAAAGACGCGTAGATTTTGTTGTAGGGAAAGCCTAGATATCTCTTCACTTTGTAATACGCATCTTAAAAAATAGTACAGCAAACGCAAAGGAAATTGCTTATTTATCGCTTATTCGTCCGATATTGGAATATGGAACAATTTGTTGGGATCCGTATAAAATTATGCAGCGTAAAAATTTGGAAAGGATGCGACGTAGGGCAGCTAAATTTACTTTCAGGGACAAGAAAATGGCAGGATGGGATTCACTCGAAAACAGGCGGTAGCAAGACTGCGCTTTGTATAAAGCTTGTAGTGGTAATCCAGCGTGGAAAGAAATTAATCGGCGGTTAAGCATTCCTACATACATCAGTAGGGAGGGATCACAGGCACAAAAAAAAATTTAAGATCGCAGAGGTCGGATGTCGGTAAATTTTCTTTCACAAATCGAACGATAACGAAATGGAATAGATTGCCTGCAAAAACCTTTGAATCCTTTCCTCGTAGCGTTCAACAGTTTAGGAAATTAATTTAGGGTATTACTATGTAAATGTGGGACTTAACTGAGAATAGTAGGTTATAGAGCGATGCGTAGGTAACATATTGTGAAGTGAGGTGGCGTGCAGTGTAAAACAGAGAAATAATGAAGGAAGTGATTAAAGGGTCGTAGTGAAGTAAAGTGAAGTGAAGTAAAGTGAAGTAAAGTGAAGTGAAGTAAAGTGAAGTAAAGTGAAGTAAAGTGAAGTAAAGTGAAGTAAAGTGAAGTAAAGTAAAGTGAAGTAAAGTGAAGTAAAGTGAAGTAAAGTAAAGTAAAGTGAAGTGAAGTGAAGTAAAGTGAAGTAAAGTAAAGTGAAGTAAAGTAAAGTGAAGGTGAAGTAAGGTGAAGTAAGGTGAAGTAAAGTGAAGTAAGGTGAAGAAGTGAAGTGCAGTGTGGTCTTAATTAAACAAAAATTCAGTGCAGAATTAGATTATAGATTATTCTTTTTTAAGGTAATTTAATGTTTTATGAATTAGACAGTTTTTATATCATTACTATTATTATTTTTATTATTATTATTATTTTATGTCATTTGCATGTTAGCTGGATTATCTTACTTATGTAATTAGCTGCCACCGGTTTATGCAGTTCAAATAAATTCATCTAATTTATCATCGCTCTCGTTGTTCTGACTTAGCGGAAACTTGTAATTCGCGCCTGTCAATTGTCTTCCCCTCTGAGCAGTAGGGTCTCAAACCGGCGCGTTCGCGTTCTCACGAAGGCACCGCTCAGACGTTTCTTCTTTATTAATTCTGCGCATTTCCTCAATTGTATCTATGCACTTCTTGATCGGATAACCATCCATTTATCTATCAATCTCTTTATTCCTGATGTTCGGTCTCTTTGTAATGCATTAAATTTAATTATTGTTCATGAAAATTTCTCACGTGTCCATAGCTAAACTGATCATTAAAACAAACACGTACGATTTATCGTATAATTATAATTATTACCCTTCCTTCTTCTCATTCTCTCGTTATTTAGACATTGCACACAATTGCGCAACTAATGTATACCTTGAAAGTGTGAAGTATTTAGAAATACTTGCGGACAAAAGGCTTACTTGGAAACCCCATATACTAGCCAAGAAAAAGCAACTTCAACTACTAGTGAAAATACTATATTGGCTACTAGGGCACACCATTGGAAGAGACCCTTAGACAATGAAGTATTTATCCACAAAACAATAATAATCTCATTCAAATCTGGGGCACGGCAAGCAGGTCAAATCTCTCCATTTTACAGATTTCAATCAAAAACGCTTAGGATGATTGCTGCAGCACCATGGTATATATCAAACACAATGCTATACTAAGACTTAAAAGTACAGTCTTTGAAAGAATCGAAACAATCAGCTCAAGCTCAATATCTGGAAATAAACCCAAATCCTCTAGCCTTCAACCTCCTAGATAGCAGTGAAGAAACCTAACAATTACCCAGAATTCCATCCTTAACACTCCATCATTTTCAAATCAGTCATAGATACTCCTCGCCTTTGACTCTGAACCAAAACTAGTAAATTGACTCTTTTTGTTTTAGATGCAAGAAGACAGTGAAATGTAACACACTATCAGAAATGTCATTAAATCTAATGTAGATAAATGTATTGAACATGAAACTAAATGTAACTTTATGCATTAAAAAGAGCATAATACATTAAACTTAAAGAATACGGGAAGTTAAAACTAATGTAGATTTAATGTAGACGTTCTTCCATTTCCCCTGCCTCAGATCATTTCACATTCATGTCACATAATCATAATCGCTAGTCCATCAAGATCATTCATTCCATATACGAGCATAAAACTTTGACTCTTGCCTCCTAATGTTCATATGCACATTAAATATAATGTGCATTCATGATAATTGCTTTAATGAAATTTACACTTAAGCAATGAAGACATTTTTAACAGTGTACTTATATAATCAATCACTAACTCAATGGCTCCTTACCAAACATATTTAAAACTGCAGTCACCAAAAAAAGGCAATAAATAAGATGTCAGGAATTGTACACCAATATCACTCTTCTCATGATTTTCAACAATATTAGAAAAACTGTTCTAGGAAAAGTTAAAAAGCAACCTGAAACACTGTAATATTATCTCGCACCAGGATGCAGGGGAAATTGATCAACAGAAACTGCCTTATTTACCTTTGTAAATGAAATCCTCATGGCATTGAAGCAAAAAGAAACACTAGTTGCTCTCTTCCTTGATCTGTCAGATGCCGAAACACAAAAAAATTCACAGAAAATTATCTAATTTACATCATGGTACTCTAGTTTTCAATTCTTCCCGTCGTATGTAATTTTTAATTCTTTTCCCCATGCGACTTACTTGAATAAAGTTCAAAGATTGAATGAAGTTTTAAAACTTCACGATTTTCGCAATCGATACATATCGATTTTGTATCGAAAACTATTCCTCGATATTTATGTAAACAACTCGACTGCATACACGTCCAATATTCAAGATGTACATAAACAGTAGTAATAGTGTAAACAAGATAGAAAACGAATAAAACACGATACACGATGCCTTCGAAAATGTCGAAAGGTGAAATCCTTGCTGATTATAAACATGAAGTAGACTCGCTCCGAAAATTAGGGCTCGAATGGAATCTCACAGAAGAAGTCATTGATAAAATTATTGAAGATTCATTCTGTCATTTCACTGGTGCTAAACGATGCGAAAGGAAGTCTTCCAGTGCAGTACAAAATCTTCAACATCATAAAAGAAAATGTAGTGTGTGTATTATTATGTTGGAGTTGCTATGTGTCTTCCTTATGCTGAGCTTATGTATATGTCTACTTCTGTCTTTCCACAAACCTTCCTACAACTTTGCGGTAAGAAACGTTCAAGAACTGATATATCCTTCTATGAAATTGCTCAGATGGATGGCTTTACCTTTCGTGAGGACATTTCCATCCATAACAGGTGGGACATTGCAAAATTTGTAATTATTTCTGGAATTAATGAAATTCATGTGATGTAGCAATTATTTCTTCCTTTAAAATTGCATTTGTATTTTGAATTGTTAAATGATGTATTATAAACTAATTTTTATGTGGTGTGGTATTAGAAACTGAAGCTTGATATATTTACTTCATTTGTATTACCTTTCAAAACTTGCTTTTGCTTTCAAACTACTTTCAAACTTGGTAGAAAAAAAAAGTGATTCTGCTAACAAAAGTATGAGAAATAGTTTTCCTGAAATATGAAATTTATAAAATTGTCTTTCTAACTTTCAGTGTGGTATGATGAATTGTGTTTAGTACAAAATCCTTATTTTCGGCCAATGGATGTTAACTGTTGGCCTTGTGAAGATGTTCGCAGCATACTTGATCTGACTGGAGTGGAAAACCCTCCAGATTATCAACCTCATAGTGTTTTTCCATATTTAGTGAAGGTAAATTAAATTTATGTACAAAGTTTTTATTAAACTCTCATAATTAGATGATCTGCATTTTTAAACACTTTTTGTATTTGCCCCAGAATTGTTTATCTTTGTGATATTTCTAAGTAAATTTTGAGAGCTGGTGATGAATAATTTTTGCATTACTTTGTATTTTTTACATTTGATTTTTTGTATTCTTAACTATGAGAATAAATACTTTTTTATATTTGACCTGAAATTTAAGATTGAACAATATATTATTTACTTATTTAACAACAATAAAATTTTAAAAAACTGTACTTGAAATCCTTATACATCCACTATAAACTTTTAATGCAAGAAGTTATTACATTTTCAAATTTAGTTCTGTTTCCCTGAATTATTCAAAATCTATTGATTGGGGTGTTGGAATTCAAATTGCTGACATGGATTATGTACCAATAAGATATTGTCTAATTTCCTGACAATATCATTCATGATTCATATTTTTACTTATCTGTTTATGCCTTAGGCCTGAAGTTCTATTACAGTGCCTAAGTGTCTGCAAAATCTTATTAAAAGTACAATAATTAAGTTAATAATATTAAAAATCCTTATTCACTATCTTACTAATTAAGAGTGTTAACTCTTAGAATGAATATAATTTTTAATGTATGTAGTGGATTTTATGTCACCTATCTAACTTTTACAGGGTGCAGCAACAATAGTCACTTACGAGGAATTAAGAGAAATGTATTTTGCTTATGAAAAAATGCTCAATCGAGATTCTTACTCTATCCAGTCATCAGTGCCAAAGTGGAGAACTATTGCAGACTTGATGAATCATAAATTACATGAAAACCCATCACCAAATAAAGATGCCCATGTAGTATGGTACGTTCATTTATTAATTTGGTTCGGTCAATAGAAATAAAATAGTTTTATGTGCCTCTTCTTATTTGTTGTTTTAATTTTGCAGTAATTATTGTAAATTTTATTTTGTCTTTAATATCAAATAATAATCTTTTTAAAAGATTATGTTTTAAGAAACTTGTTTTATTATTATTTTGTGCATTTTAGCTTACAAGTGCTACATCAAAAGAAATGCTGTATTTACTTCATATTTAATAGGCAATGTCATAATTTATTACATGTTTTCATTGCTTCATTTCATCGTAATCACTACCTTACACTTGTTTATCACAGCATTATCATCTTTCTCCATTTTATTATATTTTTGTCCTGCCTAACAACTTCAGATTATCATGCAAATCCTAAGTAATAATTTGTTATCAAGAAATTTAAAATTGTCTTTTCATCCCACATTTGAAAAGTGTCATAACCAAGGTTGTGTTTCAAATAGTGTTAATTAAATATTGAATAAATTACAAAGTAAATTACTATTTATTGCAGAAATTATTACTGATGTTACATCAAATGACTATCACATAATTCACATTGTATCAGAGGTGTATCTAGGAAGTCAGGCACCCATTGCAAGCATAAAATTTGCTCCCCTGTCAGGTTACTTCAAATTAGGGTGGTTGTTATATGATTTTGTGGGTATACTCTAAATAACAACCCTTGTGAGTGGCATCCATTGCACATGCCACGTCCCCCATAGCGTTTATACACCTCTGCATTGCATAATACACATTGGCCTGTGAGCCCCGAACTTGATATCATTAAGCTTGTACTTAGGACTTTTCCAAGAATAATTTTAACTATCCATTATACATTCCTGATTGTAGGTCCTGCTCAACAAATTCCTAAGCTGACTTGCGATTGTGTTTTGTTCATTTTGTTTGGTGTGATTTCATAGCACAAGTTTAGCAGAGAAAAAATGAATTCTGTTATTTTAACCAGGAGATTAAATCGATTGGAACCTGTTCGAGCAATACGGGAGCTGTTTCCTCGCCCAAAGTTTTTGTTGAACTCTGTGAATGTGGAGAGATTTATAATTATTGATGAACCTGAAACTCCTCAATATACTTTGGTAAGTATCACTTTTATTAATCCTTTGATTAATGTGTATAAGTAAACATATTTATTATTTTATGGCCTAACCTGATCACTAATACCTATTGTATATTATTCAAATACTTTTTATTAATTAGTAATGTGATGTAACCTTTTTTAGGGAGTTCCTTTTTGCTAAGCTTTTCAAAACCACTTCACCTTTTTGTTCACTGTTAATGTTTGATGTCTTATAGCCATTCCCTGAGGGATACAAAGTTTTCCTAATGCAAGGGAGTGGAGAGCGTCTCATTATTCTGGAACCAGTGGAAGCGTGTGCCTTCAATTGTTCCAGGGTATCAGTATTGCTCAAACCATCATATTTTCGTAAGTAACATTTTATAATAACTATAAATTCAAAAATGTGAAAGGCATGACTGGGCGTTGTGAAAGATTCTCTTTAGTAATTTTTGGTATATTTAACCCTACTTTTTTCTGATATTCATTGCTTTCTGGATCTTTTTTATTGGTATCTGTGAAAAATTATTTAATATTTGACATCATTAATAAGCATACTTTAGGAACACCTGGAAGACTGAAGTATTTCAGGTCTACTGCTCAACCAGGAGCAACTTTTAAACAAGAAGCAATATCACAGATGTTAATAGAAGAACTGGCTATAGTACTAACAAAAGCAAAAAAACAACAGGAATAGCCCAGGTTCAGATGAAATTACCTGGTACTACTGAAATATGGAGATAAAGAACTTGAGAACTTATAGATATTTGGCTGTCCAAGAGTCGCTACATCCTAGGCAAATCTACCAACATTTTGGCCATCATAATACGACCTTCCTCGGAGAAAAAGGCCAAGTAAGGTTGCAATACAATGTGGTGTCTCCGGGTATTTAGTGTCTCAGGCCGTGGAATCCTTCACTATCATTTAACTAGAATGCTGCTTAACAGAGTTGTTCAACAAAGAATACTTCATTCTAAATGAGTGGCATGCTGGTTTGGAAACAGTCTAGCCTAAGAAAGGAATGAAAACTATCTGTAAAAACCACAGAGGAATAACACTGCAATTAACAGGGATAAAACTGTTTGCAAACATATTATGAAATAAATTAAGTAAATGTTGATATAGGTGTATATTTGAGATAGTCATGGGAGTAGAAAAAAATGTGTTCAGAAAAGGGAGAAGCACAAAAAATCTCCCTTTTCACGTTCCATACAACCAGGACAAACACTTTGAAGTAAATTTACCAACCTACCTAATATTTATAGATTTTGAAAAGGCATATGATAGAGTAAATATGGAGAAAATTGTGAAAAATTCTAGAGGAAAACAAGATATTAGCAGAAACAATCAAAGGAATTCAGTCTTTACCTGACTTCACCGAGTAAAACTGAATAAGGGTAATACACCAAAGTCCTGTACAACAGTCAGAGGTTCTAGACAGGGCTGAAAACTGTCATGCCTATTTAATACATATCCCAGTCATATTATCTGGGAATGGAAAAAAATAATAAAAAAGGGAAACCTCGACAATAAACAAAATAACCTCATCATTTTGTATTCAGATGGTGTGGTCGTACTATCAGTGTCTGAATGACGTACATATAACAAATAAGCAAATTAAGATAATATTAAAATATGACAAAAAATGTCTTCAAACAAAACAAAATAAAAGTTTATCAAGAAAATGAAATGAGCCAATTTAAAATTGTCATTAACCTTTTAATTATGTACAGGCTGTTTTCCCAGAGGTTTTCAGTCCAGCAGTATGAAAGAGATATTTCTCACCTAACTTCCAGAGGCGTTTGACAGATTCTATTTCTCACATACGGAAGAGACAAGCTGAGCTGCACCGATTCCCCACATATTGAACTCTAGCCTATACAAATGCTAGGGGAGTGTTGATAGACACAGATCTTCAGGCATTATATGATCAATTGTGGTCTGCTGTGACATTTTGTGCAATTACAGTGTGTCATGGCTTCAAAAGCAAAATAAGAAGTGGGCGTGGCATGCTTACATTTGTCAGATGGCACCCTAACACAGAAGAAGAAAAAGAAATCTAAAAAGAATAAGATGAGGAGGCTATAGACATTGCTTGTGAAATCCCATTGACTTTCATCAGGTTTGAGAAGTATATTTGTTTGTAAGCATCTTTATCCATAGGCAAACAAGAAAAATATTAGTTTCATATGTGTTTGCAAACTACTCTTCTTTTATTGTCTTGAAATATTAAAGAACAAGTCATAGAGAAAAGAAAAGTGGAATTTGAAAAAAAAAATTATTGACCTTTAAAAAGAAACTTAATTTACATTTGCCATCTGTAGTAGAATTTGGGGTTCACACTGCAATTAACTTGCACAAATTTGTTCAATAATGTATTATTTTAATTTAATTTAGAAGCATTACTAATAACTATGTAGTTAATATCTCTAATATTTACTATCTCATTTGAACCTCTGTACATTACTGTATCCAGTATAATAAAATCAAATGTAGTGCAGTAAAAATATTAAAATAATGCATTCCTATTTAAATATTTCATTCACTGTTTTATACATAATTATTTGAAGTGTTGTAATATTTTCATGCATTAGCGTACAAACTGGAATAATGGAACATCATGCACACACCTTTCCGATTCTTTGTCAATTGCATGTGGAGTCCCAGAGGGATTGAATTTAGGCCCTACAGTTCTCTGTGCAGATGATACAAATGTTTTTTCAATAAAGAAACCATGAATAGTACAATATCAGATTTTTCAAATTGGTTCCCAAATAACAAATTAATATGAAAAGAAAGTGGTTTTAATGCAGTTTTCCATTTCTAATAAACAGCTCTGCACTCAATTGAAAATGAACTGTGTGCCATTGACTGATGTTAAGGTAACAAACTTTTTAAGCTTTTCAATTCAGTCAAACCTTAAATGGAATGTCCATTTAAATGAATTGAACACAAGTTCTTTATGCTACACTTTCAGAATTCTTTCAAATTCAATCAGCTTTCTCATTGCTCATTGTGTATATTTCGCGAATGTTCATTCCCACCCGAGATATGGCATAATATTCTGGGGAAATACATCTTATTGCTCCCAGACTTTTATAATACAAAAAATAATTGTGTGAGTAATAAACAAATCCCACCCACATGATTCTTGTATGCCTCTCTTGATATATGAATCAGTGGTTTTTGTCAAAAATGACTTACTTAAGGGCGGGAATATATTTTCAGCAAACATCGATGTCTGTTACTACAAAACTCAATACAGTAATTATATTCATCAGGTGACATTATCAACATCTCACTATAAAAAATTCACATACAGTACATTATTTTACAACACCTTGCCAGATGACTTTAAATGATTGAATTTGATACAAAAGTTTATGTCCCAAGTAAAGTCTTTCCTGCTGCTTGACTGTTTCTAGAATACATCAGGCCTCAGCATGCAAAAGGAAAGTAATATTAATTTTAAAAATGATATTTAATGAATTAATTACCATATGAATTGTATATTTCTAAAGGATCTGCAAAAAGTATTGTACTTGAGCTTCTGGATCAACGACCCCATTTCGATCAGGTTTTCATCCAGTTTCCCTGATCCTTCAGCAATGCTGAGATGGCCTCTTGTTTTGCTTCTGGGCATAAATGTAACTTCAAATTAACTTCTCATAGCATATCACACACAGTTTTTTAATTGTTTTTGACAAACAAATAAATAAACTGTCGCCGTTTTGCCATGCTTACATCTTTTAAACCTATTTTAGCTAATATTGCCTCACTCGCCTTGGGCTTCATCAACATTTGCTGTGGTTAAATATCAGCTGGGTCAAGTTTATTGATCTATTAAAAAAGCTTGTACTGATAGGACTGCAGAAGGAAAAAACTCCACATCTAAATGGTTAATGGACAGGAAATAGAAGAAGTATTCTAGTTCAACTATTTAGGCAATATCATTGGACATAGATCAGAGGACCTAGTAAACAAAATTCAGAGATACAACAAAACAAATTGAATAATCAAATGACATTTTGGAAGAGATATGTCCCAAGAACCCAAGTTAACAAGACATAGAGACATAAAAATTAATTATAACAATCATTATTATTATTATTATTATTATTATTATTATTATTATTATTATTATTGATAATAATTAATAATAAGATCAATACTCATGTATGGATCAAAAATATAAACACTGAAAAACAGATTGTCAGAGACTATGTGCCACCCAGATTTCTACAACACCTTGGAGTCACCTTGAAAGACTGGCAAAGAAGTGAGGCCAGAAAAAACACTAGAGATGTGAGAAAGGAGAGACAGAAGAAGTATATGTTCCACGTCCACAGAATTAAAAAAGAAAGATGCCAAAGGCACTGTGGAGATATAAACCATTAGAGGGAAGAGATCTTGAGAGATCACAACAAAAATGGGTAAACCTGGAACACCTGAAGGATTAACCTCCAGACCTACTGATATAATTAATAGGAATAATTGATAGATCTATTAACAAGCTGTATATGATATTGATGATGATAATGGTAAATAGTACCCAGTATGATTTCAAACAATTGCTGTTATTAAAGCAAGTTAAATTTATATTTCAAGTCTGTGTTTAGCAAATAATAAATAAATATAAATAGTTATTATTTAACGGAAAGAAAAATGAAGAACCCCTTCTCAGTATATTAGTGGATTGTAAATTCTTGTAATTTCTTTTTCCATTCCTAGGCAACCAGGTTGAATCACAATCCAGTTTCTGATTATAGTTTGCATGTCATTTGTTTCAAAGGTTATGATTTGGTAATAGTATATATCATTGGTACTGTTTTATTAGTAGTAATTGTTTCTTTTTCTCAGCTTATGCATACATTGTTAGTTCTCAGTCCGTTATTGTCACCAACATACAAGATTCAGAGCTTTCATAATTATTTTATGTAAAGCAAATTTGACGTATTTTGAAAATCTCCTCTCACTCCTGTAACATACACTTGAATGCCCCTCTAATAATTACATAACATTTGCAACAAAACCACCCCCTCCAATTAGAATAAGTAAATCAAATATAAAGCATCAAATGAGTTGTACTGTATTTCAGTTATGTATTAAAATTTATGATAATTAAAGCAAGAATTAGTTGGTGGTACAGACTACACATAACAATAAGATTGGGGACAATTTTTGAATGAAGTAAGTACACGTAGGTGAGAAAATTTCACAAAAACAAACCAGGCACAGGCCGTCATGGATGACATAGGCTCTGAGTCCATTGTGCCTATTTATTTGGATTCTAGTATATATTATTGATCAGTTTTAAATATTTTCTTCATAATCTAACAGATTGAATCTGTAACATTCATCAAGAAATATTTCCATATATTCTAAAAATGTATTCCACATAACTTTTTTAATTTATTACATTTTTAATGTAATATGTTAATGTTTTAGAATACAACTAAATAAAAGGAATTATTTCAGCAAATGTTGTAAGATTTTAAAACTAATCATGAGCATTATGTAACACTAAACTATGACCCCTGTACCCCTTTGTAACACAGTGTAATGTTGCTTCAAACCCCATTCTCCTTTCTTTAGCATTATATAATTTATAGATGACCCCTTAAGGTGGTACACTGTGCAACACACACTAAGAACCAGGAATACACTTTCTCATCACAGTATAACTGTTAGGACTAATGTATTGAGTCTGTACATGGTCTCATTGCCTTAATTATCAGGATTAGACAATACATTCATTCATTTCAGGATATGTGTAGGATATGAATCGACAGTTAAACTTGAGGTGAATAAAAGATGATTTTCTTTTATGTCACAGAGCAATATCATAGAGCAAAATTTGAATTTCCTACTCAAAATAATAACTTTTTGATCAGAATCAGGTGTATATGGAGGCTTTAGCACACTAACCACTTTATTGCCCAAATGCTGTGAAATAGTGAAATGGGTAACATTGGTATCATCAGATCTATCTGGATCATTGCATAATCCAAGACAGAGACTGAAACTTTGGAATGGTATCCTATTGTAATTTTTCTATTCTATTTAGTGTAAGACTACATTTTAAGCTCAGAAATTTCCATTAATTCAACTTCTCAGTACTCCCTACACAATTTCAAAATACAAATATAATTAGAAAATACAAATTCTGTTAGATTTTGATCTACACATTACATGTTCATCTGTCCAGCTTATTGACATTTATACATTTCATTTTGAATTCAGGAACAATTTCGAATCAGTGAAAAATAGCCTACCTCTTGTATTTATGCCCTCATGTACTTTCTGAATTGATGAACTCCTTCCTCAGTCCCGAGGCTTTGAGGGATACTCTGAAAGGGGTTGAAGATCTTTCCTATTTGCAGTGCAATTCTTAGATATATGCTCTGACCTCAATCAAGAGAACTACAAATCCAACACTAATCAGTACATTGTAGAAATTTGCAAAGATCATTTGTATCAGAAGTATTTTGAAATTCTCTTTACTATTCACATAATAGACCATAATAATGTATTAATCAAGGAAAGCATGGGTGAATTACACTGGAATATAATATTGTTAGCATCTTTTTTTTTTCATATTTACTGAAATAACCCGTTCTTTTCTTTTATTGCAGTGTTTTATAATAGCTGGTTTTACCGACCAAAAAGCAGTCCAGTTCATGATAGTACAAGCATTGCCATCACCTATATTGGTTCACACTAAAGTACAATATATTTTGCCATATATATATTTATAGATATACAGAGAGAGATTTACTTATTTTGTTATTATTTAATGCACATTATATGCGTATTTACACACTAAACTATATAATTTTTATCCTGAAAACCTTTTCTCAAGTGATGTTAATATAATTGCCATGATATATTTTTGTTGTAATGGTGATAATAATGGAATGTTATCATGTAATCATATCAATTGTAATGCAAATGAAGTTGACTGTCATTTGTGTAGTAAGTAGTGAATGTAATATTGTCAAAATTGTACAGAATTGAAGTCATTTATTAAATGTTGTATTCTGATTGCAAGAACATTTGACTAAATTGTATTCAAAAGACAAGAAAAGAAATTTTGTACTTTTAGAAAGAAATTTGAAGTAAATGTAATATTGTTAACTCCCAGAAAAAAATGTGAGAGACACCTAGGACTTAATGCATTATCCACTTAATATTTCAAAATGTTCAGTAATTTTTCCCTTCACAAATTGTCTGTGTTTTTAAAATGGTACATTTTGATTTGTGAATTTCATCAAATTGTAAAATAACTATTTAATAGAATCATCCTTATTCATGAAAAATGTGTTCTCATCCTCATTGAATGGTAAAAATAGGATGATTTGAAAATAACAATGTAACAGAATAAAAATAATTTGTAATTTTCTTGGGTTTTGCGGTTTTGACTGTACTTTTGAAACATAAGTTTCCAGATCTGCATTTTAATAATGTGTTTCCATCAGGAAACAAAAGATTTTGCAAGAAATAAACATTTCTATGAGAAATACTGAATTATTTTCTTTACAAACTAGAAAACCCATTTCCTTTTTTTAAAAAATATTTCCCAGTTTCACTCATCCAATCAGACTAAACTGAATTCTTGTAGTAATTTGAATAGTTTCGTAAAGAGTGGTAAGGATTATTTGTCACCTAGAAAAAAGAAGTTTGTTTTCCAAGGTAATATAAACACTTGTCTAAAAGAAAATTCATTATGGTTCTTAACAATTCCCAATTACTAGTTGGGTTAAGTTAGTAGAGACAAGTTACTCCTCAGACTTCCTACCCACAAGGCCATAATCAGATTCATTTTCTCAGAAGGTCAGTCTGACATACTATTATATGAAATTCAGAATTAGAAAACACCAATTTTATAACTAAGTAGTGACGTACGTATTCCAGAGGGGAGTAGAACCCTCCTGGCAAACCCTCGCTTGTCACAGCTTTGTCTACCCATTGAAGCACAACACAGGCAAAAGTAATAGACTCTAGCATGAAGATAGAAATCTCCTCTGAAAGGATTTTGCTGGCAAAACAATCCTTTCAAATTTTGCATTTTCAATTTTTATATAATACACTCTCAAATTCAAATACTGAACTTTAATTAACCATATTAGACCAATTTCCATTTCTTTCTTTGGTCACCGTGCAAAGTATAGAATCTTTGAACAAAATGACCAATTTAATGTTAACCAATCTTCATGTAAATTAATTTAAACATTTTTATTCAAATGTAAGGCAACTAAGAACACCTTGTAGAGGAAAGAGTTCCTCTAAAATACATTTATTGTTTAATGATTTTGAATTCTTATTCCTTCATGTCATAACTTCACTGCACTACTCTTGAGTTTCAGCTTTTTTGTTATTTAAGGTCACATCAACATCTAGGTAATTCTATTAATTTACGTATTATGGAGTACCAAGATGGACAAAACTATACACAGAGGAAAAAAAAAATAAAAAGAACATATGTTACTCATAGAATGTAAAATCCATTTTTAAAAATAATTTATCAAGCTCTTTACAAATGGCATAAGTGTATTTGATCTGTGAAGTTATTTGAACAACTAACAACAAAGAAAGGAAAGGAAAAATTGGCTCCCCTTTGGTGCTGCAAGAATCAACGGCATAAAATAGGCTAATTATCTTTTTTTATATTATCATATCTCAAGCTTACTTATGAAAGAAAGCATTGCAGAATTCGCAAGATTTCCATGATGGCTTTTCGGCAATGATGTAATCCGGTTGAGCCAATGAAGTCCAAGAGACTCTCAAACTAGTGGTGCTGCAACACCACAAACTTTCTTGCATTATTTGTAATGGCTCCATAATATTATACTACTACACAAACGTGCAAAACTGTTTCCAACCAGCTAAAATTGTTTTCTGCCCTGAGAATCTAACTCGGGTTAATTGAGTTGACTCGCACTTTATAGCTACACTGCGCCATAGCTCTGATGCATTCCCTTAAGCAAAGCTTATAAATCTAATTCTCTCTCATTAATTCCAACACGCAATTTCCGAAAATTTTGTAGTTTTGATAGATAACCTTTTTTGCAAATTATAAAAAACACAAGAGTTCACCGGAAATTAGACTAGCACAGCTTTTTTAACCATCCTTTGATACATACAAGGGAAAAAATTGTTTCAAATATATCAAGCTGTTTTTGAGAAAATAATTGTTTAAAAAAGACCTATATTTCATGCAAAATTATGCCAATACTACTCATGTTATCAAAAAAATTGATTTTAAAATGTACCTTTAAACAAGATTTTGTTAAGAAAAAATCTGTGATCAATTTTGTACATGTAGGAAGCCAACAAAACAAATTTTGAACAATTTCAATTTTCAAAAAATCAGGGATTTCAATGAAAATGTGACCTGAACTGTTCTTTTTAAGTCTTTTATGCTATCCAAGGACAATGTTTAATCAAAAAATTTAGAACCACTTTGAGGAAATTTTGAAAATAGTTTGAAGGCTTCTTGTAAATTATCCCCAAAATCAAAATATCATTTTCAAACTCAGAGGGCCTTGAGTCGCTTTAATTCAACCGAGGAATATAAATTTTGGAGAAAATCTTATCAATTATGAGTTAAATAGTAATTTTCAGAAGTCTGAAGCCAATGTCAGATTACCTCCCTGTTGCAAAAATTTCAATTTTCAGTGATCCAATTTTGTGGAACTAATCAAGGTTAGAAATGTGTTGCTTTTTAAAACCACTTTTGAAAGGCATGAATATGAAGAGGGGTTGACATGATCACATGGTAGGAAAATCTGTAGACAACTTACAATTTTTGAAGAAACAAAAGTTACACAGGAATATTCCATGAGAATATCAAGCAAAACAAAATCCATGGCAATGAAAGGTAAGGAACAAAGAAGAATTGAAATTGAAATAAAAGGGGAAATAGTAGAGCAAGCAAGAGAATTCATTTACCTAGGCAACAGAATCAATGAACTAAACCACACACAGGAGACATCAATAGAAAATTACATAATTACTTCAGAATGTTTGGAACCATTAAAAGACACTTTGGTTAGGGTATGGATTCTACCATAAAATTGAAACTTCATAACATAACAGCTAAACCAATACTTCTGTATGGTTCAGAAACATAGAAAATGAAGGAAAACAAGTAGAAAATACAGGCAGCACAAATTACATTCCAAAGGCACCTCTTAGGAGTCATGAGAAGAAACAGGTTGAGAAACAATGACATCTAAAGAAAACTAAAAATCTATTAGAAGAAAGATCACAAAAGAGATGGAAAGAACACATTTGCAGGATAGAGAGTAACATCCGGAAAAACAAACGCATATGGAAATATAAACCAATTGGAAACAAGAGACATTGGAAGATCTTTGAAGAGATGGAAAAATCAGGAACACTTAAAAGATTAATTTACTAGGTCTACTGAAATAGCACAAACAGGAACAGGATCTTTCTTAGACATCTGCAGTTCATGATAATGATATGATTATGTTAAAGAGAGGTTCTCTTAGAGTTCTCCGTTTTTCATTCTATTGAAGCTTATTTCAATTTCTTGCAAGAAATGTAAGCATAACGTAAAGTACTTCAACAGCACATACTTTCTTGTATAATTTGTTATGGTTACATAATATTTCAGTGCTATATGAACCCATATGAAAAGTTTGCATATTTGAACTTTATTGCATCTTTTAGTGGTTGGTGGCATTACTTGGGATTCACTTCTGACCCAACAGATGCCTCTGCTATTGTTTCCTACACCAAAAATGTTTGCTTTTACTGGGATCTGAAATAGAAAACTTAGGTTCGAAGTCCAACTTGCGCATCAATCCACTATTGGCTTTAACACCAAAACATCAGACATGCAAAAATACGAATCTTCATAAAAAATACAACCTTTATCTATACAAAAATACATATCTTTTTAAATGCCAAGGTTTTAGTGAAAATAGTACATGCCAAATAATTGAGTGTATCCTTATAAAATGTTTAAAGAAAAAATTTTTTTTAATGAAACTCCTGTTTATAAATTTTTGGAAAATTGTCAAATACCACCTCAAAATTTCAAGAATACTTCTCACATTGTGTAAAAATTTTGCACATCATTTAACGATTGTATTTTGAAAAACAATTTCATCAAGAACTATTTAGCTTCAATAATGTAGTTCTAAAAAGATAGAAAGTTGTTCAAAAAATTAAGTTTTTAATGAAAATCAGACTTTTGTAACTTCTGTATGTCTACTTTGCTGTATTTGAGCAAAAAATGTAAAGAAAATATTTGAGGCAATTGTTAAAAAAACTGTAAAATGTTCCTAGATTGTCGGTGTTGAGTTTGCCTAAAAATTAAAACATTTATTTGAGATTCGCAAAGTGTCAAGTTCTGTCAGATCAATTATTTTATGTATGGATTAGGTGCTAGTCCTCTTCAGACCGATGTATCAACAGGCAAACTAAACTTTTTCATATGATTGTGATATGTGTAGTGTGATCGGTATCATCCAAAATGTGTCTTTCTGCCCAAATCTCCACATTGAATAAAATTCCATTAGAATTTCAATTCAGTAACTTTAATATGTTTTCAACCATACAAAAATACTACGTTTCATTCACCATTCAATAACAAATAAATATTTAATATGAAGACAAAATGGGATCATTCTATAAATATAAATGTATTTGGTACAACAATACTAAAACTTTAAACACTTTCATGGTAGACAGTAGTCAGGTGACTGTAGTGAGAGAATATATACAAAATTAAGAGAATAAAGCTTTGTTCCTTAAAGAACAAAATTTAGCAATTTGAAAAATAAGAATAAACAAAATATGTCAGTGACTGATAAGTTGGGAAGTATTGTTTTCTATTACTTTATCAGATCAGTACAGATACTGTAAAATCTTATAGATTTCTAGATTCAATCAGCATTGTACCAAATACAGTCATTAAACAATAATGTGCAGATTTGAATTTCATTACAAAACAAGGCAAACAACTGCTACACAACAGGAAATCTTTTTATAAAAATACAATTGTTATCAGTCAGCCTAGACATTTAAGGTGCAGTCTGAGACCATATTTCCTGAATGGTTTCCCTATACATAATCAGTCCATTTCATTAGTAATGTTGAAGTAAAACTTACAACAGGGATTCTGAAATATTCTCTTATAATGCTTCCTGACCTTATGTGCAACACAATTTCAGTTGCTACCAATATAGAAATACACATATATGATAAGGAACATGTTTCACTCGCTGCAAATATCACAGAATAACAGAACATTCATACATATTTCCACATAAAATCTACATATCCCTTAGCCTTGCCAGAGATTCACTTCTTGTTTTATATTTACACGTTCCACTACTTCTCTCAGCTGAGAAACGTGGAATAATCAATGTTGTCGAAATCATAGACAGCACACACAAATTGCCAACAGTATATACAATGATTTATATTTTACATATCAGTCTTGTCAATACTTATTCTAATTGCTTTTGTGAACATTCACACTTGTACAACCTATTTTAATTTATTAATATATAATTTACAGAATACACAGAACATTCAATTATGACGAGTATCATATACAAGCACCACTACTTTTGTCTTTAGACTTCTCATATGAAATGTATGCACAAATTTGTTAATTTTCCATAATTTCATCACATAAAATATTTTTAAAAAAATCAATAACTAACCCCGTCTTTCTTTTACTGCATTTATGTGGTAAGTACATCTATCATACACATCTACTGGTGGTATGAAACAATACCCTACATAAAAGTCTCTATGGACTAGACATGTTCTATATACAGCAGACCAGAAACTGTATAAAGAAGTCACACAGGACATTTGTGCAAGGATGTCTGACCAGTCTCAACTACACACCAGTAAAATAGTGAACAATAATTACACCGAAGCAAGAATAATGAAATGTTGCTGGAATATATTCTCACATGCCCCTTTATATATAACCTTGCAGAAGAAAGAAAAATTATAACTTCAAAAACAAACTTTATATGGGTTCCATTTAAATTTCTTGAGAAATGGCTGTAATCACAAATAGAAAAATTATAGTTTTAGATTCTTTCAGGATGTTTTATGTGTATTTTCACATAGCCTTAGACAAAACAAAAAACGTCTATTCTACAAATAATCCTTATAAAAGACCTTTTGTACATCTTCAATATACAGTTTCAAGATGATAAAGAGTCAAAAAAAATCCAAGCCACTATACTTTTTCAAAACTGCAGACAATATAACCAACACTTAAAAAAGGAATAAAATAATAGGTCAGTGACTTATTTAGATTCCTTTGCATTCAAAATTTTTTAAAAATTGCAATAACTGCTGAAATATATTAATGGTACATAGCTTGTGATTCCACCAATATATGAAATCCTCTACTTGGTAATATCAACTAATATGACTTTATGGAAGCTCTAATTATATACAATCTATGCTCAAGCTTGGAAAAACTGTTTTGATTTTAGAGACAGCAAGTAGCAAAATGGATCATAATTACAGGAACAAGAACATAAAAAAGCATTATTTTTTGATTCCTGAAAGTCTCATCCACATCAACTGAAAATATGTAAGTTTTGTCTAAAGTTGATGCAGAGCATCATGTATGTAATTACAGATATATCAGACTTTCACACAATAAGTGTTGAAAATAATTACTTCAATGAACAAATATAGAACATAATCAAGTGTATAGGATAATATTTGTTATATGGGTATATTAATAAACTCCATACAAATTGGCATACGGATAATATCAAAATCGGTAAAAAAGAGGCAATTTCTAAGGTGATTATACTGGGGAAATATTCAAGATCTGTAATACAGATATGCTGCCTATTAAAATATTATTAATAATAACACTCTTTCGAACAAGTGAAAAACTTGCATATGATATGAACTTAATAGCAAAATCAACCATGTTCAGAAAGCAGTGGTTATTCTTTATCTAACAATAAGTCTTTGTTTGTGGACCAGACTAAAATTTGTATGTCCATTTTTGGGCTCCCAACATCATTCTCTTGGATGCATGGCACGGTGAACCACACAGAATATTTCACTTTCAATATGACCAAATATAGTATCTTGCAAATTTCTACTGCAGTACTAATGCACTTTATTCCTCAAATCTTAGAGATAAGAGGATTCATGTATCTAAGAGTCCACAGATGATGGTTTTAATGATGAGAAATATCCCTCTCATCAGCAGTAGCAGCTACTGCAGCACGTTGAGCGGCAAGAGCCATTTGCGCCATCTGTTTCTCCAGTTCTGCACTGTAGAACTCATTGGCTGGTGTGCCAAAATACTTGGTGAGAACATACACTACTGCCTCATAAGTAGACATCATTATGGCTGTATTAGGAATCTGCCGCACAAGCTGTGTAGCAAGTCCTCTGTACAGTCCTCGGTGACCCTCTTCCTGAAAGACTGTAAATAATGTCTGCCAGAAAGATCGGTACTTATTCCCTTCTTCACGTAATCGAGTGCGAGCCACCTCTGCAACAAAAAGTAACAAATGCTTATTATTGTCTAAATTCAAGAAAGGTCAAACAGTATGAGTTGGAATTAAGACCAATGAGTAAAGTTTACATTACTTGCATCGTAAGGTTTCAATGCACCAAAAGCTCTAATAATGCACTTGAAGTAATTAATCAAATAAGAACATATCATTTAATTTTAATATGATGTGTCTTGAAGATATTGTATTATCTCAGAGATTATTTTTATTAAAGAAATTTAATACAAATTAAATGATCCTTAATCTTTGTAAATAGCACCTGGTATCTGGTGAATGAAACGATTTTTCATTAAAAACTCATAAAACTCGTAATTACGGATTCTTGAAGAATACCTTATTTCTTTACATGTTTTGTGCGTCAAAAATATTTGCGGTATCAATTAATATAATCATGTGTAATGGTTTCAATACGTCAGACCACGTACATTATAAATAATTAAGACATTAAAATTAGTAAGCAAATTGAGGTAATTTGAGTTCAACTAATAAATTACTCCAGCATTCTTCCCCGCCTTTCCAGTTGGCTGTACTTGAATGAAATCTAAAGGCGCATTTGGCGGCAATTTAAATTCCACAAGGGCCAGCGTCACGTGGCGTCGTCCGGAATGACGTCAACGGTCCCGGGCAATTACTTTGTATTCGCGGAGCGTCCGCAGGGCTCCCGATCGGGCTTCGCGCCCACGCCGCCCGAGCGCGCGCGGAGCGGCGGGGCCGACAGCCGGCCCCGCCCGCCGACCAGCCAATGCGGAGCGCGCGCGCCTGCGCGGGCCCCCGGGCGCGGGCAACTGCGCAGCAGGCGACGAGGCGCGCCCCCGCGGACGCGTCTCGCATCGCCCACGCCCGCCAAGCGCGTCCTGCCTCCCCGCCCGCCCCTGCGCGCCACGCTGTTCACTGTGAGATGAGGCGAGAGTTACGCAGCCGCCGATCCGGTCCCGCGTTCTATTAAGGGAAGTCACTCTGCTCTACAGCCATTTGCATAAAGTAGCAAGCTCTGGCGCGGATGCTGCAATCTACGAGTGATGGACAATCCCAGGCCAAGACGAACAGAAATCCAAGTACTATTGGAGACAGTTCGTCAACGATTCCACATTTACTTAAAATATAATAAACAAATAATGCAAATCGTTAGTATATCAACTGTTTAACGAATCAATTAAACGAGTTGTATTTTTTATTACATCATACGTTATACGTTAACAGCTCGTCATAAGCGCTAGCTATAAATGGCGCCTTCGCATTTCTTGCCTCGAACGCAATTATATAACGTCGCATTTAGCGTCCCGTGAGCACCTGCGCCGACGGCCTAACGCGAATCGGGGAGGCGTGGCGTCAAGGACTCGCGTCTGCTTCGCCTTCCCCGTCCCTCGCCCGTGGCTCCGAAGCCAGGGGAGCGTTCGGTGCATCGAGGGGCCATCCACGGCCGACGCATCCCTGAGCCACCGCGGCGAGCGTGACGTGGCGTTTGGCTCTTCGCCCCGAGCGGCATGGCCTTCGCAGCTCTTCGCCATTTGTCCCGCGGGCGGGCAGCGTCTGCCCGACGACGGTTTGCGCGCGTTATAAATAGCGCGTATGCACGTTGGCTTCGCGAGCGCAAGTTGCAAAGCGTTACGGAACCTCGTGTGTCGAAATGAAACGGGTAGAACATACGTAAAGACGATGATACGGTGTGCAGGCAACGTATCATCAACTCTACTACAGCTAATGATGTTGACTTATGTAATTCACAAAATTTTACGCTGCATTATCTTAATTCCGCGTGAGCTTCACAGGTTATGATCTGTAACTCACTGATGCGACCAGTTTAACCGATATACAACTGCAGTGCCAGTAGTAATTTATTAGGGGAGAATTAAAGCCCAGAGCAAACAACGTACGATGTCAAACGCACACCTCATTATACATATTTGTTTAAAATTTTCAAATCGTTTCTATGATCGCAATCAGTTTACTAATGCAACTTATCCCATACGATATCACAGAACAGAAGTATTACTCGCGTGTTGTTTGACGACTCAAAGATCCCCTTATGGATTTGATTCGCACAATGTTTCGGATGATCAGTAATATACATTATACTAGAAAATTAATAAACCTTCTCTAAAACATCCCCTGTGCGTTAAAAGAGATGGTTCTGATCAGTTATTCATACTTCAACACAAAGTGCGGTAAACAGGATGTTCGTGGCTTCGCGGTATTTGAGTTTCAGCTACTCGAGCTACCGGATGCCGCAGAGCACACGTTACCGCAATACCCACGACGTTCCCTCCTGTGCACTTCCCCGGTGCCAACATATTGCGGGACATTTCGCAACAGAAACACACCCATGTCATGATCATGTTACGATCAGTCGCGACAGCAATTGTCCACTGATATTGGAAAAAAAAGGGGAGGGGTGTTAACACTGAGTCACCTCAGGTGGAATACATTAGCATTATGCAAGGCAGAGAAATCCTACTTTTAAATTGATCAGGTCGACTCCACGTGTCCGTCCGTCACGGATAGTTTATTTCCGGACCACCATACGAGGCATGTCATGTGAGGCATTTGAGAGAGGACCTGACCTTTTTTTCCCGTTCCTTCCATAACTTTTTAAGATATTTTTTTCCTGGTTGGCCATAGTGGTGGTGGTGACGACGGTCGTGGAGGCGGCGTTTAAACACCAAAACGAGTTTTTTTTGTGCATGTGTGTAGGGGGGGGGGTGAGACACAAGAGGTGATCAACAGTGCTCTTTCTGATTCTTCTTAAACAAGACAAATTGACCGACAACATTTAGCCGTAAGGATTTCGGTTTCTTCAAATTCCGTTTCCACCCAGGTTTTCAAGGATTTCAGTTTCATCAAAATGCGTACCAGATGCCCAGGTTGATGGGCATCTTGAGCGAAGTGGCCACCAGAGATGCACTGACAAGCTAGTTAAGGGGTAATTTCTAGTAAATATTTAATTTTATTTTTTTTATTTCTACAGCCATAATAAGCAGCAATTTCTACAGCTATAATAACGCTTAAGCCGAATGGAGGTCAAAAACGATATGGTGAGATATGCGAGATGAAATGGCAAAATTATTCGGGAATTAGAGAGGATTATACACGTATTATATACGTATATTATATACATAATATCGTATGTTCGGTAGTGAAATAAGTAAGTGACGTTTCTTCAAGCATTACGGATTACTTTCGAAATTGTATTCAATGGACAAATTTCAATTACGATTCACATGTTTTACGTTAATTAAATAACATCATGGAGAACTGAATGGGCTTGCCTTTTATTACAAAACAAGGACTCTTACGCAGCAGTCAATAAACTTTTTAAAACTTACGGTGTAACTTCTTTGCCCGAGCTCACCTCTTCTCTATCAAATCAAACTCGTCCTACTCTTCTCTGTGTGATCGTTGAGCGAATCTCCGCTACAGCGATAGATAGAAGCGTCAAAGTACTAAGAAAAGCGCGGGAACGACAAGCGTGGGAGACATCTCTTCTCCACAGCAGTCCAGTGTGACTGCTGTCTCCCTGAGGTATAAATAAGGTTACGACTAAACAAATAGTTATTAATGTAGCAAGGGCGTTACAAGGGTTCTAATGAACGAGCGGCGTCAAAATGCCCGAGGGCGTTTTCTCGCCAGAGATCATTGGAGCCAGTTAACGCTCGTGATACACAATTTGTTTTACGCAATTTTATTGATTGAGATTTACTTATTTACTAATTAACTAGAGGTTAACTTGACTCAGTTTGTCTTATAATATTTCCCTCCATAAGAGAACGTATCATTCAACTGTTTTCATAATTCTCTCGTAACCGTTACCCTTTCGATACAGGTACGTTATGCAGTGTATATCGAACTCCGTATCGAATAACATAACGCATCAGTAAAAAACAAACAAACATTGAATTAATATAAATCAGGTTTTGACTGTTCAAAGTATTATATAATCGCTATTTAAGGCATGTGATGAAGTCAGCATGGTCTTTAAAGATATTGTAACGTATTAGCCAGCGTGCCTCATGGCATCTATTTGGGGACGCTTGGTAGAGGATTAGCCGCCCACAGGAAAGAAGGTTTTTCCGTAATAAGGAAGAACGCGATACGGAGACACACAGCTTTGGTGTCTCCCGGCTATAGAAGCTGTTTCACTGTTTAAACAAGCGAGAGGGTGGCGTGACGTAGGCGTCACGTGGACTCGGCTATATACGTCAAAGAGTGTAGCGGAGCGCAGTAGGGCTAGGTTCTGGAGACGGTGGGAGGACCGCTCGTGCGGTGTGCACAAAACTTGCGCCGACGACGGTGCTATATGGCGAGGCCAGCGCATCGCTGGTAGGCTGGAGTCATTAGTTACGAAGCCGTCGACTTTAATGTCCTTCCGCCCCAGGTTGACTCGGACCGTCCGGGGACGATGCTGTGATCGCGTGCTCCAGACGCTGAAGAGTGGTTGAGTCCCGAATCCGCCCGATCTCAATCGGATAGAGATCGCCTCCTGGACGATCAAGGCAAATACGGCAGCCGTTTGGTCGCCGAGAACGTGACTTTGTGTCCGCGCTGACAGTGTCCGGTTCAGGATAGCTGTAGCGCTTTATGTGTCGCAAGCTTCAAAAATTAGGAGTGGCGAACGCGCTACAAGTTCAAAAAACCGTCCTTCAAATCGGGTTTGGATCGCTACCCGCGATCGCATGGGCAGGATCGAGAGGTTCTAGTCCAGCAAGCTAGGTGTAAGTAGCATATATTAAGTGTGACTATATTGTTTTGTTTCTTTGTTAGATAGACTAATTGTTTACGCACAGCTCTGTGTCTGTGGTCGCTGCTGGTGAGTATCCATGACGGATCACAATAAGTAGTACCTTTCCGCGGCACATTGCAAGGAATTTTTCATTTCTGCGTTTGCTTCGAGTCATGGATCTGTTTAATAACTTCTTGAAAATATCCGCCTTATAATGGTATTGCAGCACATCGTCCTTGTCTTGATTTTCGCAACAATGTT